GACACTTGTTTTACTTTCCCTTATTTGTCCTTTTATTTTATTGGTTTGTCCTTCCAGCCTTGATTGTTTATATTCTAGAGAAAACTGATTACTGTTTTAAAAAAAACAAGGTAAAGGCATTACATAGATTAAGGTTTAAGAAAATATTTTCTAGTCCATAAAGCAGCATTTTTTAATTTTGATAGAAGTATTAAAGTTTATTTATGTTTTAATAGAAACACAATATATAATTTTATATTAAGGAAACAGTATTATGGAAATGAAAAAAAAGGAACCAAATTCAATTCTTGCTATTATAAATATGTCATTCTAGTCTAAGATATATTGAGCTGCCCAGAATTTCAAAATACTGAAGGTTCTATAAAATAGTTTGTAATCTAAGATACCATCTCTATACCTTTAGCAGCAATTTAATTTTAACACAGTTGATAAAAAAAGAGAACCGCTATATACAATTTGGAATTTCTAGTGCATCAGCCTATTTGACAAACTTGATTAAATAAAGTGAAGCACCCCTCTCATGTTTCTCTTTTTTTGAATGCAATATCCTATCTGTTTCAAGGTTCCAGATAAAATTTCAGGCATTATTGGCAAAAACCATTGATGACAGAAGCTGGCAAACCAGTCAGTCTCATTTCCCGATATTTTATCAATCTTTTTAAGCATATAAACAATAAACAAGGAGTTTCCAGTATTTCCGTAAAGATCAGTTTGTCCTGATAAAGTACACTCCATGGATCAAACAAGCAAGACACATTTTGTCTCAATGGCTACCTGTCAGTCTCATTAAAAGAAGGTTTGTTTTGGTTTTCAGCTTGGTTGTTTTTTTGAGGAGAGTTTGATTTGTTTTTTGTTTAGGTTTTTATTTGGGTGTGTATGTGGAAGAAAGGTTGGTCATGTTTGTTTTTTTTCTTTATCAGTCAACAACTTTGACTTGTAAATGTACTTCAGCCAATCCACTTTCTAGCAATCTTTTCTGAAGTAGAAAGAAACTGTCAACATCTCAGGAATGTGACCTGAAAACTCACAATAAGCTCATAAGTAAATTTAAACCAATTCAACTTTTATAATAAGAATATGTTTAAAATAACATCAAAAATTAAAAATGTTGATACTTAGTTTTAAGTGCTTCCTCCAAATAATGTTTCATACCAAAAACACTGCTAAGAGATAGATTTTTAACATGAAGTCTTTAAAACACCTGAAATGAATAAAGGCAGCCATGATTTTAGAAAGCAAAATGTTAAACATGGAATTCCTGAGAAGAGAATCTAGAAATTTCACGTAAAATTATAAACAATATTTGGATAAAGTAAGCAACCAGTATCAAAATCCCCCCTCCCACAGTGTGATTTTACCCAATGGCTCTCTTTCAGTCTTCTAATAAAAAAGGAATCATAATTTGAGAGACCGAAGAAGGTAACTGAATATTAAAATTACCTAAATTCACATACGTATCTAAAGTCTATCAATCAAGAATAAATATACTCTTTACTGACTGTCTGCATTTCTGTAACCTTTACACCTTAGTCTGAGAAGGTAGTTTAGATCCATTATTTCTGCAAAACATTGTTTTATTGGTAATTATAGGGATGTCATCAATCACATGAAGTTTTCATAGGCAGGAAGAAAAAAAATCATAACAATTTCACTGTTGACATGAAACCAATGTGAGCAAATTGTTGCTAATAAAAAAATGATATACGACTTACTGCCAAGATGATTCTGGAATAAAATCATGGGGCAATGGCCATATTGTAGGCTAACTTATTTCTGTGGTGTTTTCCTTTCAAAATACCAAAACGTTGCTCACTGATCTAATTTACAGTTAGATTTTGTTATAGTGGGACTACTTTTGACCACGTTCAATCTAAGAGAGAAAATTTCAGCTTATTAAACAAACATCAGAACTGTTAATTAAAATATGCAAAAACCACCCAAAAGACAATTCATCTGATGTGTGACTATTTTTTTACCTTGTGGCCTTTTTGCAGAAGGCCCTGAGATAATATAATATACACTATGGGAGAATTTTCCCAACAGATACATCCAATCTTGAGCAGCATCATCTCCTCCACAGTTACTCCAGCTTTACTGTATGCATGCTGGACAGCAGTGAGTTGCATCTCTGGGTAAAAGAACAGCAGGAGGTGGGTTGCTGCCACAAAACACTTCATCCTTTTTATTTCCATATTAATTCCAGGAAAGATGAAGCTAGAAAAAGGCTGCAAGAGCCGTCTTGGCAGCAGTGACCATGGTTTTCCTGGATAACATGTATTATGCCAAACATATAGGGGTACCAAAGCCCGATGCCACAGGACTACTTGAGTATTTCTATAGTTAAAATGAATAATAAACTTTCAAGTGCTAAAGTTTAGAGAAATGCAGAAGGTAAAACTAGACTAACAAGTGTAAAACATATACAAGTGTTATTTACAGGCTATTAACTAAAAATCGTTTTACCACCACCACCCTGGCAAGGACATGGCATGATCTCTATACTGAATTTCTTCCCACATAATAATTAATGTTCACTTTGAACACTCAACATTTCAGCATGTAATATTTTTATTTCAACATTCTTGTAATGCTAATAATGAATATCTTACATCTGCTACTTTTCTTTTACACTGACTGCATTTGACTAACTGTAGGCTGAGAACACAGTAAACATAGCATGGCCTGAAAAAATAAATGGGAAACAAAACATGCTTACCTGACTGGATCAGTTTAACTTAGAAGTTAACCTTTCCTTCTACATTGCCTACCTATTATATAACATTTTTTCTCTCCAAAGCAAAAAATGTGTGTGAAATACCTACAGTTACAGAATTTGACACTAACATTTGCATGGGCTTGGCCAGCAAAGGGAGGGCATACTCCCAAAGTAGCGTCCATGCAATAACTGCCAGCTGCCTGGCTGTGTTCTACAATACTACTTACTGACTTGTTTTCAGAAAACGTATTCTGCAATTTGCCACAGTCATTGGCAAATGCATTCTAAATACAGAAAACTGCTATATAAAATCCTACTGGAGCCTGACGACACAATGAAACTAAACTTTGCCTGGAGTAAGGGAACACAAATATCCATCTTTATGTCAATTTTTAAAATGACTGCTCCTGAAATAACCTTGCAAGGACATTTTAATTCAACTGCACCACAGAGTATGAAATCATAACATCACTGAAATGAAAGTAAATATCTACAGGTTAGTACAGATCTCCTGTGGTCGTTAAGTTTTTTAGCACTATTTATAGACTTCTGCAGAAATACTTCAAGCCAGACCATAAGAAACCGTAAGGGTCACTTCTGCATATAGGACAATTTAGAATGCAGAATTCCCATATGATAAAATAAGAAATTACCAATGAGGTTAAAACTGGCTGCGATGTTTATATTACATTAGGTAAAGTATTACCTTCACATGGAACAACAAAAGAAATGCTAAATAACACTATCATCTAATGTCTAGTAGGATGCAAGCACATTTCAAGCTCTTAAGACATACACGATTACCGTGAATGAAAAAAAAAGTCTTTTCAAATTCCTAAATTAAAACTTTAAGTCATATTATTACTGGAAAAAAATTGTTTTCCTGCTAGGTCAAAAAGTCCAAAGCTCAGTGCCTCCGGTATACTGGTGTAGGGCTTAGAACTTTTTTTTTTCATTTTCTAAAGAAAAACCAAGCTTCTTGAGCAGTTCGCTGTAAATAAATACATATTCAGCTCAGAAGAAAAGCATTTTCCAATGTAAGCTTTAGGACAAAAGCATAAAAACTATTGAGGAAGCGCTAGTTATATTTGATGTTTTTATTTTACCAAGAAGAAAACATCCTCGGAGCAGATACTTAGGGTTCAATACAGCAGCCAGTCACTCCTGGAAACTCCAATCCTTTTCTGACACATTCAGACATAGTTTGCAATTGTAGGGAAGAAGAAAATTCAGCACAGCAAATACTAATCCTAAAATCTTTAAGTCCTGGAAAGCATCATAAAAATATTTTGCTTAAAAAGTTATCTAGAATTTTTTTTATAAGTAATAAACCAAGCTTCTCCATCAATTCAATCTAGAACAGTCACCATTATTATCATTATTACTACATTTCTCTTGAAGCACTGGATATTATGTCAGAAACACTTTGTTAGGGAAGGACACGGTGTCAGTATAACAGAGCACAGTAGTTCCCATGCACTACTGCACGCTATTTTTGACAAAAATGGGTTCCTCAAGGGTACTGAAAGTTTTAAGAGAGGATGCTAAACAAATTGGTTTATTTTTAGCATTACAAAGTCCCTTAACCTCACAGGTTTCACCTGAGCACTGTACTAATGCAGTCACATGGATTCTGGACTTCAGCATGAACAGGCAAAAATTTTTCTCCAAAACAGACTGGGTAAACTGACTAGTATTTTTTTATTTACTATTCTGTCTCCAAATAAGTATGAAGGAAAAGACAAGAAGGTCAATGAATACAGAAGGAAGATTTGGTTATAGCCTTCAAATACATAGAAGGCATGTTGCAAGAAGGAATGATATGCAACAATTATTTACACTATTACAGTACTTTTATGTGGCTATGTTACATTTATGGCTATGTGCTTGGAATGTAAAGCATTCCCATAATTGTCAACTGGAAAATCTGACTTAACATATTTATCCTACCCCCAACTGGGGAAACACAACAATTTTTACCTTGCTCAAAACCCTGCCTTGGTGTCTGCTGCAGACAGACTTAATCTAGAGCTGTGTCATATTGTGGGGCACTCTCATACTGTGCTGCTTGGGGTATTACTGTTTCATGCTGCTTAGAATTTGCTACCGTTTTGCTTTTTTGCCTTACAATATACAAGAATTGCCGTCAGTTTCAATCTGTAATATATATTTTAGTTAAAACAAATAAATGTTGATTTGTGCTACAATACAGTATTTTATTTTCCAAGAGCTGGAATTGATGGGAACAATGAAAGAATAATTAAGTTACTTATTTAATTCTTACCTGAGAAGAGTATGTGTGACCATCTGATCCACAAACAGGATTGGTATAAACTACAGGACACTGCTTGCAGTTTGATGAAATAGGACCACCCCTCCACTGTTTATGGCCTAAACCAGCCTCTTTCATACTGTAAGTAAACAAAAAGTATGTAATTCTGATAAGTAGTAGTAAAAATACAACACATTCAGGGTATTTTAATAAGCCTTTACAAAATGTAAGCCATACATAATTTCAATCATTAATAATTTCAATTTTCTTCTAAGTAAAGGGCTGCCACAGTCTTTCACATACAGTCGTTTACCTTTATACCCTACTGTAGCAATACATGATACCTGCATATTATTTCACTTTCTTAGTAGAAGATGATGATGAAGATGATGCTTTGGTGACTTTTACACTTAATGATCAGTGAAAGATGTCTGACTTGTGTAGTATTTACTTTTTTGTTGCTATTAAATAGTATGAATGGAGCTGTTTTATTAATACTGGTGTTTTAGAAGTTAATGTTTAAGTACTAGAAAATTACATCATAAATACTACAGAAACAAGTAGGTGGTCCTTCAGAGTACTGTTTGCCCCACTTTGACCACAGCTTTTCACAGCTTACATTTCTTAAAAGTCAGACTCTAGCAACCAATGCAAAGTTCAAAGGAAAAAAAAAGAAGGTGCACTGGAGCACGGAACTGATCTGCTTTATCTATTAATGGCTTTCATATAAATAAGAAAATAGAAGAATAATGCATGATTTTTATACTGTGTTTTCTGCTTGGGATCTTACTGAGATATCTAAAAATGATTACGCTTATAATACAGCAATGACTTTTCAGGACATATTCAAGCAGTAAATGTTCAAATTTAAAAAAAAACACCTCAAATAAAATCCTTTCTAATGGAGCAGAACTCTTTGAGCTTGGATCACCTACAGATAAACAAGAACTATTTTACTAATTAGTCATGAAATGCTGTTTGAGAAGAACTTGACTGGAGTAATAAAAAGAAGTGAAATGAAGAGAAAATAAACTCATCCTTTGTTTCTAGGGTGTTCACAGTACAAGGCTAAAAGCACACACTTAACAGTAAACTGGTGATGATCAAAAGCAAAAACATTGCCAAGCTATGCTAATGTTTCTGTGCTGTTCATAATTTGGGCTCTAAATGTGGCCTTTAAGAAGAAAAAAAAAATAAATCATGTCAGTTAGAAGTTTACATTCAGATGTTGTTGTGTGGCGGAATTTTGAACTGTGCAGAGTTTTTTACAGTGTAAACAGGAACCCGAAATGTTGTACACAGAAATTATCAGTTAATTCTTAAAAAACAGTAACAGCTTCAAGTACATGTAGCATAATGAGTGGGGCTTATGTCCACCAGGAAGTATAAAGAAAAAGGAAAAAATTGAAACCTATCACCCTAATTAATTATAAACAACAATCCTTTCTGCTGAGTTGCATCATTTAAACACTTAGAACAGACCATTTTTTTTCTGTTATAGCAAAGAAAAGCAAAGTTGAACTGTATCTCTGTACATGTATAATATATAGTAATAACCTAACTATTGCTGCTCCTCTCACTTGTCTGACGGTTTTCCAGACATCCACATGAGCTCAACATACTTAGATTTTTAGATGGCTTCTCTTACTTCTTATTACTTTTATAGCTCCCAGTTTTCCAGAAGTGCCCCAGTAGCCTGAGGTTACTGGCAGGACCAAGGTCCCAGCTACCAACCTGATGCAATTTCTGTTTATCTGAGATACAGTAACTCCAAACCACTGCATAAATCAATTGCAAAAGTTCCAGATATCAACAGGGAGAACACCACTTATGGCAAAAATCAGAAACTGGAAGCAAGATTTGTAAGACACACAGGGACTGTTGGGTGTAGATGCCTAAAACATATCAAAGAAAGGACCAGGGGTGACTAAAGGCCACCAAAAGCATATGTGCACCCTTGTACATGCCCTCAACAAGAAAAGACACAAGAAAAAAAAAACAGAAAGGAAGGAAAAGAGAATCATGTGTCTCAGAAGTACAACAAGGAAGGTGGACAGCAGAACAAGCTCAGTAGATGGAAATCACAGGTCTGTGACAGCCAGTGGAGAGGTATGAAGAAAATGGAAAATATTTTATCCAGTCAGATAGATTACCTTCTCCTCAACTAACCTCTGCTTTGTTAGCCTTTTAAATGCAGAATGTCCCAGGGCACCCATTTACGTTGAAGAGAGTCAAGTTTCCTATTACACAAAACTACCTGAGACCAGCAGATCACTCTTATCAAAATCTAATAACTTTCCTGTAATATCTGTATTTTTTTTAAACTTGGAATGGAAGGTATAATTATAAATAAATTATAAATAATGATACCTTGAATGTATCAGTCCAGAGACACCTGGTCATGGAAATTCTTTGTATGGACATCTGCTCAGAAACTTTAGTATGATGATGTGGAAACCAGACTCTGTATTATTAGAACTATTGAACACCTATTTCTTGCTTGTCAGTCACTGAGACGACAGGCAAATATGAAAAATCAATTAAAAACATTTTTAATACTAGTTATGGTAGACACATATATTTCATAAAATGTTAACAATGTCTTTTAATTATGTACACATTTCTACTCACCATTCTTAACTACATCATATTTGTTCCTGTTGACTAATTTTGTTACCAGGTGTTACGTTTATTTTCATTAAAGCTAGGCAATGAGCATACATACTCTTCTATGATTCTATGACATGGAAATAACTGAAAAACTATTGTGATGATATAAATCATGTTGAATTAAAATCAGTGGTGTATGTTGCCAACATCATGAAATAATACACAGAAAGTCTGCTCAACTACAATATAATTTGTTATAATTTACTTGAAATATGCAGCTAAAGCAATGCATTTTTAAATTTTAAAATGTTCAGGAAAGAATAGTAAACAAAGAAATCAATTACTTGACTATTAAGAAATCACTTCTATCTTGCTCGTATTTATTACTTTCGATTCTATATGCAAGACCACCCATACCACTACAACTTGCAGTTACTAAAATTCTGCCATTAAATTTTTTACCAGCTGGGCTTAAACCACAACACCACTGCAATCACTAAAAATGTTTTTGGGTTTGTTAGTATTTTGTCACAATAAATATATGATGCTACATAAAAGTCAACCTCTTCCACTGAAAAGTCTTAATTTCCTGAAAAGGGCTTTGGGATCTGCCTAATAAAGATCTATTAGTGCATGCACAAGCTCCACCTTATGTGATACTTGTTGAAACCTAAAGTGTAAAATTAAGTATATGGGTTTAATTTACCAGCAACACTTGTGAGTGCATTAATTTGCATACACCAAATTGTACATATGATTTCAGACTGCATATGGAACTGCAAGCCTAGAAACATAATTAGCCAATCTGCCCAATTATTCTAGCCTATGTACCTGTTTGCATACATAAAACTTACCTTCCTGTGTACACAGTGATTTGTCTGCAAATACTTTGAGAAAGCCTGAAGTAACCATTGAAAATTTAGCTGCAAGCAACTCTTAAGCAATGTGACTTACGTAATGACATCTATAAAATGCATGAGTGCCCAATTCACTTGGAAAAATTACATTGCGTAGCTAGATATGAGAATCTTCAAACACAGGTCTTCAAATACAGACTGATGGAAACAAATCTGAGTTACTAAACCTCCAATTTTCCAAAGGACTCCTCCAACTCTTGTCCGATAGCTACGTTTGCATTTTTTAGAGATTTCAGAATTATTTCAATTTAAAGACTGCCTGATTATGTTTTGCCATGGCCTTTGGGGGACACAACTGGGCTCTGTCAGATTAATGTAATCTGAAAAAAAACCCCACTTATATTACAAAATCCAATTTGGTTTCATTACAGTTGAATGGATTTACTTGAAAAGTTACCTTATCATGTTAAAGCATCCTGGAAGAAAATGATAGCTGTCAATATATTATTGAAATGTTTCTTTCAAATGTCAAAACAAACCAAGACATTACTGCCTGTCTCTGTGTATGTCTATATTAGCCTTGCTTCATTATTTTGCAAAACTCCTAAGAAATACTAGAGAAATCACTTTTAAGAAACCAACAATAATTGAATAAACCTAAGCCAAAAACAACCAAAGGCTAATAAAGTTACTGTTGGAATCAAAAAATATTTTAGCAACTTTAAATTAACAGTAGTGGCAAGACATTTGCATTTCTTGATGAACCACCATAATGCTTAGCAGGTGCACGTGAGATTATATTAATTCAGCTATTATTTTTCCCCAGCATCTTCACCCAACCTTAGGTTAGAAAACTGAGTATCATCTATCATTTTTGTCATGAGCTCTAAGCATCACAGTATTATTTCAGAATATTTCTTCTTGTGCATGTAGGAAGAAAATGCTATTTACTCAACTACACAGGAAAAGGAAAACAAGATATCTTAAGGATACAAGTTCTTACTACCTCCTTCCACCTACATATATTATTAAAAAGATAAGTCTACACTTTAAGGTACTTTTTTGCCTTGTTGTCACATAGCTCCATTATTTTCATCACTATTCTGCCTACTTTGTCAGGTGAAAGAAACCACTACATTATTCTAAATGCATATATATATATATATATTAAACCAAATTCTAAACAAAACAGCCATATCTATTAAAAACAAAACAACAAACAAACAAAAAAAAGCAACCCACCAAACAAAACAAAAAAAAACCCCACCACAAAACAAACAACAGCTTCAAGTAATGCTGAATCCTGCTGAAATTTCCTGGAATAATATTTACTTCAGTTTTATTGAGTGACATTAGGAAGTATTTTAACAAGACAGAAAAAGAAAGAATGCACAGCAACACACAAATCATAGAATGGTTTGGATTGGAAAGGACCTTAAAGATGATCTAGTAATAACAACCCTGCCACGGGCAGGGTCACCTTCCACTACACCAAGCTGCTCAAAGCCCCATCCAACCTGGCCTTGAAGACTGCCAAAGATGGGGCACCCACAACTTTTGGGCAACCTGTGCCAGTGTCTCACCATCCTCACAGTAAGCTTCTTCCTAATATCTAATCTAAATCTTCCCTTTTTCAGTTTAAAGCTATTCCCCCTTGTCCTATCACTACATG